CCACCTCGGTCCCCAGCCGTAGGAAAGGGCTTTTCAGGGAGGTTGGGGGGGGAGTGCCAGCGGGGGGAGGGGACTTGAACTGAGCCCCTGGGGAACCCTAATACACGTCCTCTAGCCCCTGGCGCCCACCGGTCAGGGCTGACCCCAGCATCCTGGCTCTAGGTGGCCTGGTCTAAGCTGCCCCCCTCCCAGAGCTGGGCCTAGCAGTCCTGGGGGAATTCGGCTCGTGCTGGGCTTGCAGAATCCCCTCGGGACTGGACTAGGACCCAGGCGTCCGGGCTCCCAAACGCCCTCCCCTGCGCTAAGCAGGCTCCTCCCAGATCTGGCTCCCCGCCCGCCCGCATTCCCTGTGTCCCGGCAGGACAGACGGGCCGGGCAGCTCAGCACATTTTCTCCCAGCCGGGCGAGGTTTTCACATTGCGTCTCCGGGCCGGGGGAGTGTGCTGAGCTCATGGGCTCGCTCAGTTGTCACTGCCCCCAGGGGGCCCCACTGAACACAGGGCTGGGAGCTCGCCAGCCCCCTCCGGGGGGGGGCACTGACACAGCCCTGTGTCCCGGCAGGACAGACGGGCCGGGCAGCTCAGCACATTTTCTCCCAGCCGGGCGAGGTTTTCACATTGCGTCTCCGGGCCGGGGGAGTGTGCTGAGCTCATGGGCTCGCTCAGTTGTCACTGCCCCCAGGGGGCCCCACTGAACACAGGGCTGGGAGCTCGCCAGCCCCCTCCGGGGGGGGGCACTGACACAGGGGGCTTCAGGGTCCGGTTTCAGGACAAGCTCACGTCCCAATTGGTGACTCGCAGGCCACGTGCTCCTGGGCCAACACGGAGCCCGTCCCGTCAATGAGAAACCCAATCCAAGAATTCCCCCCAGCTCTAGTTCCAGCTTCCACATGCTTTCTGGGGACACCTGGGTTCTGCCAGCAGCCACCTGTGCCCACACAGCCGGCCGGCCAGCTCCAGTGGTATCACCCCCATCCACCCTCCCAGCTCTGAGGCAGGGGGAGTCCTTTCAACCCCCCCCTTTTCCCCACTAGCCCTGGGCCTTGAGGTTGGGGGAGGGGTGTGGGGGGTCCAGTCAGTTCCAATGTGGGGAAGGAGGGGTTGAGATCCAGGACTCCTACGTTCCGTTCCCAGCTCTGGGAGGGGAGTGGGGTCTAGTGGTTAGAGTGGGGGAAGGCTACTCCTGCGGGGGGGTCTATTCCCAGCTCTTCAGAGAGGCAGAGTAGATCCGTTCACCTCTCTGTGGCCAGAACGTTCCTCTCCCATTGGGCTGGGGGGTGGCGAAGGGTTAACAGTGGGTTAAGCCATGGGGGCGGGGGGGGTGTACAGTGGCCCAGGATTACATGCCCTGTGCCCCCAGCCGGCAGCCCCTGGAGCTGC